CTTCTTGCCTTTAAGAAATCAGGATCATTATTTTTTTAAGGTGTACTTTACATAAAAAATATAATAATAAAAAAAAATAATTGTGATTTTACGATAAAGTCGGAGATTTTCTATGTTTTCTTTCACTAGTACCCTGTTAATAATTTTATTGTGCAAATTTGAAAAATAACTTAATCTCTTAAGGTTTTAATTTACAAAAATCTTTTTTTTTTTAAAATGGCGATCAACATATCTAGCCAATTTTTTTCCCTTAGCATGTATGTGAAAGTAAATATAAGTAAAACTTGAGGGAAAACTAAATCTAATATGTAAATGAAACATATTTAATTAAAAAGAGATATCGAATTTTTTTAAAGAAAAAAGTTATACGCATATGTGTTTAAAATGATACAATTTGTTATATACAGAGAGAGAGAGACCGTGTGCATAACTAAAACGATTTACAGAAGAAAAAAAAATAAAAACAGAAATGTTAATTCATTATCTAATTTTCAGTATATTTTCTGCCCACAAGATCATTAAGCAATTCTAGACTTAAATAAAAATTTCAGTCATTCATAGGACGAAAATTTATTATAAACTGACCTTTGAAAACAAAACATCTGAGGGGATTGTATGGGGTGTTGTCGGGTCATATTATTCATATTTAATTTAATATCCTTGCAGGACAAAATATTTTTTCAGAGACAGACCTAAAAATATATATGTATGTATATAATTATTATTTCTTTCTTCCCTTAAAAACTTGAAAAACTTTCAAAAAAAGGAAAATCTGCCTACCCTCCCTCTACAAAGTTTTCGAGTTCAGGCTTCAAGTCAATTTCAGAATAATTATTATTCATTCTTTTTTCAGTAGAGAACTTCAGAAGAGATTATTTATTTGTAAAATTGTCAACTACAGATTGCTTCAATCAATCCCCCCAGGAAGCAAATGATTGCCCCCTTGCTATCACGAAACGGATTCTTAAATTTCATGTGTCGTGTTAAAACATTTTTAGGTGATGTAATGATCATAATTGGCAAGCTATTATAAGTGCTTACAAAGAATCCATGCCTTCTCTTAAAAAATATTCACTATGCAGTATGATATTCGTTTTTTAAAGTCGGATTGTGACTCTTCATTAATTTGTTTAAAGTGAATCTATAGTAAAATATTTACATTTGCAAACGTTTTCTTTTATATAACACTATTAAAAGCAACGCGTATCTATATCCGTGTAAACACGGGTTCCTCGCGTCATAAACGTTCGACGTAATCTCTCAGTGACGTCATAAAGGGTCGACGCGCAAACAATGGATCAAATACGTGCCGTTGAGTTTGAAAAATAAAACATTTCACGCGTTAAAGATTATAATCAGGAAAACATAAAATATGAATAAGTCATAAATGTAAATATAAGTAATAATGTATCATTTTTAAACATCTATCGGGATATAAATACGGGTTGGTACGAGATCAAATTTACCATAAAGCCCTTCGGGCTTTATGGAATTTGATCTCGTGACCAACCCGTATTTATATCCCGATAGATGTTAAAAAATGATACATTATTTCTTAAAGAACAATAAATTTAACGTTATAATTTTCCACTAGAAAGTGTCTCTTATTGTGACGTTTTTGACGTCATCACTGTGAATTTGACGTCGTCTATGTATCACAGTTGTTCTTCAATGTTTGTCAACGGACAAGATACAATTTTTATCACTTAAAACAAGTAAATGCTTAAAATAAATAATTAATTAATAACTTAAAACTTGAATAGATCAAAACTTAATATTAAATGTTTTTGATGGGACATATATGACCCCTGTGGCAGCCAGTGGGTAGAGCCCATATATGACCCCTCTGGCAGTAAGAGGGTTAAACCCACATATTTTAAAGCATCGTGTTCTCGTGCAATTAAATTATACCAAGGATCGTTTGTATGAAGTTTCAATATAAAATTTCCAAGTTATTTGTTTGAATTCATATAAATATTTTTTTTAAAAATACCGCATTTCCATTACGTGCACATCTCAAGTTTCTCTGGGTATTTACTACATCATTTATATTTCCTCTAAAATAAAAAATGCCAGAAAAGATATAATTATTATCTAATGTAGTAGATGATTATTTTCAAGAATATTAGAATTCTATGAACTTGTTTCAGACTTTCTTTGTGTCAACAATTTTTAAAATATCATGCTCAAATCGTGTACCTGCAGACCAGGAAAGAAAATAAAAGAACACCTGATCTTCTCATTTACTCGATCGTTCTGCTTACGTTGGTGTATGTTGGATCTTAATCACAATTTAACTGGACAATTATAGGGCGCAAAAAGGATAAACCGGAAGTGCTCCGGACGTCGACTGCTCGACCGTTAGTCTTACTTTAGAAAATTGCTTTGTCAGTTTCTCTTGCGTTGCCATTCGTTTCCGTGAAACAGTGATGATAAAGGGGATCGATCTAAAAAAAAAAAATCTATAAACGATACAAATCTGTGAAGAGGGCACAAAATACGGACCGCCGGAAATTCCAGAGGTGGGATCAGGTGCCTAGGAGGAGTAAGCACCCCCTGTTGACCGGTCACACCCGCTCTATGTATTGATCAGGTGGACGGAACATTCCATAGTCAAATTCAGTTTAAAAACGAAGGCCTAACAATTGGTATGAAACAAGTCAGCCAAAATACGACCCAATGATAGGTTATATTTGATAATAAAGTCGTTATAACGACCATAGAATTTACGAAATGCTGACTTTATAAACAAGGTTGTTGAAATCCCTGAAACATCAACCTATCTGTCAGTAGCCTGCTTCGGTTTAAAAATTGATCGTAATCGACGCATGCTCCTGAGTATTGTGAGTAAGTTGGGGGATAAACACCATATGCATGTGATATCGGGATATTACTACAAAAATAAGGAAAGTTGACGATGGAAAAGCCATAGTCATCTCGTTTGTCATACAAATAAGTTGTTAGTTGGCCCCTATCCTCTATAGTCAGTAAAAAAAATTAAAAGTATGAAACAGATGTGTCAGACTCTGTGGTGTCTTTTATTTCAAGATCACTGGGATAAATCGAATCGACACATGGATGGAAGTAACTATTGTTAATTGATAATACATCGTCGATATATCTAAATGTCGAGTTGAAGGCCACAGCGAGTGTTTTCTTCTTCTCATGTAGAAGTTTTTGAATGAATTCTGCTTCATAGGCATATAAAAACAGGTCGGCTAATAAAGGAGCACAATTAGTGCCCATCGTATTTCCAACAGTTTGTTGGAAGACCTGGTCTCCGAAGACTACATATTGTCAATAAGGAACTCCAGCATCCTTTTAATGAAATATGGAGATAAGGAACAGTAATCAAGCTCAAAAGTCCATTGAAACAAAACAAATCGGGAGCAAACATGGACCTCTAAAAACATCGGAGGTGGGATCAGGTGCCATAGAGGAGTGAGCATCCCCTGCCGACCGGTCACATCCTTCGTGTGCTCGATCCTTGTCATGATCGGGAAAACGGAAAAATCCGTAGTCTGTGTTTAGATAATGGCCTAATAACCAGCATGAAAATTGTCAGTCGGCATTTGAGTTAATGAGTTTGATTTTGCTGACAATATCATTGTATCGACCATAGAACTTGCAAAATGCTGAGTTTAAACGAGAATATTGTTATGCTTCATATGATATATTTCATCAACTTGTTTTTCAATAGCTTGCCTCGTTTTAGAAATTGTTTAAGTAGAGCATGCTCTTGTGTATCGAATCAACTGGGAAACATAAACTCCATATGCAGGTGTTAAGAGTATCATAAAGTTTTGTTGTTAGGTTACCGATAACGCCTTTTCCTAGTAAAATATCCAGTTATAAAACAGATGTGTCAGACTCTGTGGTATCTTTTATTTCAAGTTCACTGGGATATATCGAGTCGACATACGAATGGAAGTAACTATTGTTAATTGATAATACATCTTCAATATATGTAAATGTCGAGTTGAAGGCCACAGCAAGTGTTTTCTTCTTCTTATGTACAAGTTTATGAATAAATTTTACTTCATATGAATACAAAAATAGGTTTGCTAATAATGGGGCGCAATTGGTACGCATGGGAATAGATTGTTGGAAAACTTGATCTCCAAATATACTACATATAGATATTGTTAATCAGAAAGTCACGCATTTTTTAATATCAACGTCAGAGTACTTGTGTTTACAATCAGAATGTTTTTTAACAAAATAATTTTGTGAATGACCAATGACAAGGTAAGTATATTTACGAGTTCCATTTTTATTGAAAAAGCAGTTGTCTATGATGTCAAAAGGTCTTAACTTTAATTAATACAAAATTTTGCTCATTGTCCAATTAATTGCACCTTGAATTTTACATTGAAGGTCTATGGGCAGCGCATGATTTATTAATTAAGATATTGTAAAAAGTAATTTAAACTTCATACAAATCTCTTGGTGAAAATATGCATAAACTCTCTCTCTCTACAAAAACGTTTAAGATGCAAAATGGTCGGCTTCTTGTATGCTTCTTGTATGTTATCAGTCATGGGAATTTGGTTCATTTCATTTTCATCGTTATCTAGCAATACATATTTAATTAGTTTAAAATGATTCAAAATTGAATACATTGAATACCTTAAACAAAGGAGAATCTAGCAGACAGTGACTAGAGCCTATTGTAATAAGCAGTTACAATTGGACAATGTGGGTAAAAAAATCCGAAATTCTAAAACATGTATGTATTGAGAACTAAAAATGCATGTATTAATACACTCAGTATATTCAAAAATATATTGATGTCTCTGGTATATTTAGAACTTTTAATTTGAACACCCCTCACCCCCCCCCCCTTAATCTTGACAGAGTGAGGCTGCCTTAAGAGGAAGGAATAACAACTCAGCACATGAGATTACAAGGTTCTATGCGAGGTTTGAGACAGAGTTATCTGTTCTTGATTTTTATTTAGGGAATTCCCGTAGGCAGAAAGGAATCGGAACTAGACAGGGTATGGTGGTTCGGCATACGCTCAGGTAAATGAAATAAAATTCTACACAATTATTGAGAAACAGAGGGAGGAACACAGACTTTTCCAGACATTTTACCTGTGTCTCTGACCCAAAATCGCCCAGGAAAATGGTACACTCAGGTATGCTGTATGGCCTAATTATTTCTTTCTCTCTAAATATATCATCACTATTTAGGTGCGTTGTGTGTAAAACCATAGTTTATCTTAAATGTCAGTATGTGTCATACTTTAAGTAAACAAAATTGATAAATTTCGTCTATTTTCATTTTTGCAATCTAATTAGGATATATATAGGCATTGATTCTTGTAATCGATCCAATTGATCTATTTTTAGAAGTCTTACGAAATAGATAAATAGCCTTATTCAGACGGGGGATTTCGAGGAAGTGACAATTTTGTGGTTATTATTGTGCTGCCTGGGGCCTTATTGGCATTTATTACAGGTGTGGTCCATAGAAATATATTTTGTATGTGTGTCTCTGCTCCAAGATAGGCACACACGCCTGCTAATATAGATGAATTTTATAAATATTTCATTTCTTTTATATTGTAAAAAGATTTACAACAGATTTAGTAACATAATGAATATTTAAGAATGTGAACTCAAGTAAACAAATGTAAGATGTAGCTCGAAATTCTTGACAGTTAGCTGCAAATCACTGCATAAAAAATACTTGCAGTTGAGTTGCTTATCTCAATATCGTGACCTAGGTGAAGATTTGTAATGAATGTTCATGATTCAGTGATTATACTATCATTCAGCACATGCTTCAGTAGTCCTAAGTTATTTATCTATCCTCACAAAACAGACACACACTTAATACTTCCTTGCAGGCTTGCCTGATAGATGTTTTAAAGTTAATTAAGTTATACATACAAATTACTGTACTTGATTGAAATCAAGATTTTATCTTGCAGTTTTGTTTGAAGTTGTGTCATCAGTCATAGGGAACGGAAAGACTCTCTCATAAACTCAATGTACTGTTTCCTGAGTATAACTGCGTTTGTTATAGGTTTAAAATACGAGTTAAAGAGAAAGACCTGCAAGACTTTTTCTGAAAATATTTTGGGTTTTTTTCCCTGCTTGATAATGGAAATTATGTTGAATTTAATTTTGTTTTTAATTTTGTTTTGTCTTCTTGTTTTTTAACAGGAATGTAATTCTGTGTAGGAATTACTGAAGATTAATCTTCAGTTTATCAGACTGTTATATACCTTGGAAACAGGAAGAAGAAAATTTACAAATACCTAAGATTTTTAAGTAGAGATCAAGATGTTTTTGGCGGCCAGTTGGTGCTTGGGGCGTTACATGTGGCTTTTGCCAATTTTCACTCTTGGTTGGCTGTTTGTTTCTATGACAACAACGTAAGTATTTTACATGTGGAATTATCATAATTAGTATTTGAAATGTTAAGAAAATTATTAAAAAAAAAAAAAAAGAGGAAATGAAGAAGAAAGAAAGAGGTGTTCTGAGGAACATGTAATATGTGTATTTTTAAATACAATGAGTGCTAATAAAAGGGAACTCTTGAGGAAGTCTTTTTGTATTAGTTTTGTGCATGAATAAGACAAAAATGTAACCTTACTTATGACAATTAGCAATACAATTAAACAATAAATGTGCTTCAATTGCAATCTTAAGGGATATGTCACGGTTAATTACCAGCATTGTAGGAAGAAGTTAAATGCATAAGCGCAGCATGAAAATTGTCTTACAGTTACCAATGGTATTAACCATTGTATTGCCTATCATGACAGTAAAAGCAAACTTTATTTAATTATTGTTTATATTTACATCATCATGATCATATTTACTGATTTCTTTTGAGTAAAATATCCTTTTCCTTTTCAAAATAAAACTATACAAAGTACATGTATGTTGACAAGCCATGATGCAGTTAATATGTGACTTTTCAAACATGTAAATGATTTAAAAATATGCAACATTTTATAGAACAAGGAAGAAACAAACTTTTAACAGTAACAGTTTTATGAACAACAGTTAAGTTTAAATTACTTTCAACCTTTACCCTTGAAGCAGTACATTACACTCAATTGTGCAGCCACTTGTAAATTAAAGAACATGTGACACAATGTGAATATAATCAATATGAAGCACATTGCAGTTTTGTTTATTTTATAAATATTTGGAGTTTTCGTAGACTGATCCTGTGAATGAGCACTTGGATTTTTATCAGAAGAAATTCATGTTTTTGTGAATAACTGTAGTCATTAGCTTCTTTATTGAAATAGGGTTAACAGAAGATAACTAAAATTACTCTAAAATTACTCTTCATATAATGTACTGTATCCAGATACAGTCAAACCTTGTTTATAATCTGTTTATAATCTGGAACTCAATGGGACTTAGGAAAAACTTTGAGATACCCAAGGGTCAAGATATTGAGGGTGAAATACACAGAGAAAAAGTGATTAGGACTTCTTGATGACTTCGACATATCAGTGGTATTTGAGATATCAATGTTCAAGATATCAAAGTTTAACTGTACTTATGTTCTGTGGGAAATACGTGTAATTTTAATCTTACTAGTATACTGGGGGTAATGTTTATTATGGACCCTTTGTTTTGAGAATTAAGCTTTTCTTGTTGTAATGAAAATTATTTAGTTTACTAAGCAAGTATGCTGTTTAAAGCAGTTAGCATGTCAGGAAGAAAATTGACTGGTCCCAGATGACTTTAAGTGTCACTTTACATGTAAACACATATTTATCAACACTGTGCCTCTCACTATTCAAACCTCATAATCTTAAACTCAATGGGACTGAGAAAAACTGAAGATATCCTGGGTTTCAAGATATTGAGGTTAAAATAAAGAAAGAAAAATGTTTAGGAGTTCCAACTCACTTTGACATATCCATGGTATTCGAGATATCGATATTCAAGATACCAAAAGATACCCAAGATACTGTATATAATTGGCTTCAGTCTTATAAAGTTTGTCAAAGGTCAAGGTCATAAGTTCAGCAAGCAATTTTTAAAGAATAAAACAAAAAGAAAAAAAATAATTGTTACTAGTAGTGAGTGTTGCTAAGTATTAAGTACATGCATTAAATTCCTTTCTCTAAAGACTGGTTTTAAAGTATTTAGAATTGACAGACAGACAGAGAAGCAATGGAAAGAACATCTTACTTTGCTCAGCATGTGACACAAAAAGCTTCATGGTCATACTGAAATGTTCAACAAATTGAAATTTGACCTCTCTGTAGAGTTCCTGTAATTATATTTGTATTCACAGGTATGGCATTGCTGTGGCTCTTAATCACACCTTCCCAAATTTCCCGTACATCAGGTAAGCTTACTTAACACCTGTCTATAACTATCTATGTATGAAGAAAATGTACAGGGATATATTGGTAGTTACTTTAGATGTATGAGGAGTTATATTATTGAAGTATCAAATTGCATGTTTACAACTGTATGAATAATATGGCATTTTAATCTTTTTATGTCTCCCCTTCCAGGGGAGACATATTGTTTTTGTCGATTTTCTTCTTCTTCTTCATCCAAATTTTGTCCAGGCCGTAACTTTAATACCCTTTGACATTAAGACTTCAAACTTGGAACATAGATAGATGACATTGAGAAGGAGTGCACGTCACCAACATTTTTGACCTTGACCTATTTATAAGGTCAAGGTCAATCTTTTACATCAAAATAGAGTTTAGCCCATAACTTGAGATCCCTTTGATATTAGGACTTCAAACTTGTAACATAGGAAAAAGACCTTGAGACAAAATGCACTGCATTAGAATTTTGACCTTGACCCCTTTCTGCCTTCAAGGTCAAATAGGGAAAAAACACGATCTGACCATAACTTGAGAACCTTTTGACATTAAGACTTCAAACTTGGAACATGCAGAGGTGGTATAAAGGAGGGATGCATGCCACCAAAATTTTTGACCTTGATTCAATTATTATAAGGTCAAGGTCAATCTTTTACATCAAAATAGAGTCCAAGCCCTAGCTTGAGTACCCTTTGATATTAGAACTTCAAATTTGTAACATAGAAAGAAGACATTGATACAAGATGCAACACACCAAAATTTTTGACCTTGACCTCTTTTCTTCCTCAAGGTCAAATAGGGAAAAAACTTAATTAGACCATTACTTAAGAATCCTTTGTTATAAAGACTTCAGACATGGAACATGCAGAAGTGGTATGAAGGAAGGATACATGCCACCAAAATTTTTGACCTTGATCCAATTATTATAATGTCAAGGTCAATCTTTTACATCAAAATAGGGTCCAGGCCTTAGCTTGAGTACCCTTTGATATTAGGACTTCAAACTTGTAACATAGAAAGAAGACATTGTTACAAGATGCAATGCTTCAAAATTTTGACCTTGACCCCTTTCTTCAAGGTCAAATAGAGAAAACATGACTAGACCATAACTTGAGAACCCTGACATTAAGACTTCAAACTTGGAACATGGAGAGTAGAGGAAGGGTGAATGGCAACATTTTTTCACCTTGACCTATTAATAAAGTCAAGGTCAATCGTTTACATGAAAATATAGTCTAGGTCATAACTTGAGAACTTTTTGACATTAGGATTTCAAACTTGGAACAAGGAAAGACAAAATTGAGACTAAATGCACTGCATCAAAATATTTGACCTTGACCACTTTCTTCAAGGTCAAATTAAGAAAATCACGACCAGACCATTACTTGAGATCCGTTTGACATGAAGACTTGAAATTTTGTACACAGAATTTGAGTTGAGATGCACTGCATTATTATTTTTGACCCTGATCATATATTTGCACTCGTTAATGTTGGTAAAGAAGGGGAGACATGTGTTTTTTTGTAAAAAAAAACAATACCCACTAGTTACCTAGTGTATGTACAGTGCATATGGTAAAACAATATATCAGAAGTTTGCATGCTGAACACATTTTGTTTGTAAAATTACATTGATGACATTTGTATACATTGTACCTGTCTTTCTGTACTTTACAGCTATACTGGAGTGGAGGTTCCAGAGAGAGGAATATTCACATTTTCAATCGCCGTCACGGCAATCATGCGTAAGTCGATCATAATGTTTATAACTTATCAGAGCTAAGACTTCTTAATTGATAATGTGTGATACATTTATGTGAATATTTGACATTATAAATAACAGGGGACCATCTAAAGTTGTCTCTACAGACCAATTAACTCGCATTGTTTTAATTTTTGTTGGATGGCAGAAAATTCAAAACAAGCGAGTTTATTGGTCTGTAGAAACAATTGTAAAGGGTTAAGAGGTGGATAAAATATACAGTTCAATTAAAAAATATGTCTAGAATTAGGGAGTAAAAGGTAGTTGATTGACCAATGCTGGAAAGTAGAGAAATTCTCCCCAACTGTGCACAGAAAATCTTGTGCCGTAAATTGCAACATTTTGCATTATTGGATCTGTAGCGTTATGGTCAAAGACTAAAATTAAAACCATAATGCTACAATTCTGCAGCTACTCCTGAGTATTAAGGTAGTACACAACACCCATGAAATCTGTTTTAACGCATTTATGAAAGAATAATTTCACTATAATGTCAATAATCAAATATCTTTGTAAGAAATATAATAAACTGTGACATGTTTTCACCATATTCAGAGAAAATTTTCTCTGCTCCTGGGTATATAGCAGATAAACTAAATGCATGGTGATGATGAACAAGGATGCCTCTTCCAAAATTGTGAACTTTATGGTTCCAGGGTCAGGGATTCAGGTTGGGGGTGGGGGTCTGTTGAATAAATAGTGAAAATGCATTGTTTTCTGTAAATCTTCTTCTCTGCTCCTGGGTAAAAACTTTAGTTCTTGAGCATTATTAGTAAACCCATCTCATTGGGCTTACTCATAGTGCTCAAGAACTAAAGTTTTGTATAGCCCACATGGGATAGTGACAAATGGGGGCAAGTGCAGGCAAGTAAATAGATCAACTTTAAGGTTTGTTACTATGCACTGAATTAATTATTTTACTGATCCCTGATCATTTTACTTTCCCTTGTTTTGGGCAACAAAGGCTTCATTTATCAGTTTATTTTGTTTTATTTAATATTCAATCTATGGATCCTTTACAGAGTTACATTATACTCAGGTGACCATTAAGGCCCTTTGGCCTCTTGTTATAATTTACTTGCAAAAGATAAAATTAATTGAAATCACAAATTAAGATTTTGATAAAAAATACTTATACAGTTTGAAGGAAAATGCCTATTTTTTTAAACTCTCTGCTTTACTTGGATTTTTAACATACATTCTAAACTCTCTTCTTTACTTTGAAATGTTTGGATTTTTGACAGTTGCTGCAAATGCAGAAATGCGATTTCTGTTTGTTAAAGAAGTTTTTCGTGAAAAGAAAATGAACAAGAAATGGAAGAACACAAATATTGCTGGCCTTATCCTGGGTCTGATTTCCTCCTTTGGACTTCTGCTAGTTGGATGTTTCCAGGTAAATAGATTTTATTGTTGAAGGGGGAGGAAACTGTAATTAGTGTGTCCATCCATCTGTCTAGATCTCTCTCCTTCATCAATCTGTATGTCTGCCAACGTTCTGTTAATGTTTTGTCAATAATAACCATACCAGTAAAATGTGGGTTGTGTCTTCATAACCACGACATATTACAAGATCTCTGGTTGTCCTTACATCAGAAGGCATGCCTTACAACATGTAGAGATAGTTTTCATATTACATATTTTTAATGTGAGTTTTTCCCCTTGGCTTCCATCATCCTGGCCATTTTTCTTCTCTAACCAAATTTAAGGTTCTGCTAAAGGCCAAATTTTTGTTTGTAGAAACACAAACAGAATGGCCAAATGTTGCTAATTATCAAAGTTGGCACTTTTTGTGCTCTTGTATTATTGCAAATTTCCTTTTATTTTGCTTTATTATTCATGTTCTCCTATTAAAACAAATAAAAAGGTATTTTCAAATTACTTTTCATATTTTCTTTTAATTTTAAACAGGAAACATGGAAGGAAACATATTTAATAAATGCAAAATACTGCCCGATAGAATAAGTTGATAAATGATAAAGGAATGAATGATTAAATAAAGGAAGGAAGAAATATTTGATTTTAATAAATAAATGAAATCAGTAATTCAAAAAAGAAATTATCATACATAAATTTCTCCTTTAAAATACATTTATGTACCAAATAAAAATGTTAAGTTCTAAGGATTAACATTTTAAGTGGTGGATCTAAGAGAAATGGGGAGGTATTGATTAAAGACTAAATTAAAATTGATTAAAAACTAGAGGCATGGTTTTTCACAAACAATAATTATACTAGATTGAGTATAGAACTAGTGCTTGATTATTTTTGGTTCTGAGTTAAATGAAGAGGTAGCGACTGGAGTTTGTTTCTAAGAAGTGACATCAGTGAGAGATTTCAAATCAGGAAGTGACTGCATGGCTCCTTTAGATCAAAATGAATGACATAAGCAGCAATTAAAAAAAACAAAAAAGATATTTGTATGTTTGGATACATAGATAATTAACCTCACAAAATAATAAGGGTGCGTAAGTCCAAGTAGATCTGAATTTGACATTCATGTAACATTTGCAGTAGGTTTTCTCTTATCTCATGTTATACATCATATTATCACCTGCATATAGGGTCTATATCGCCCAGTTGATTTCATACACAAGATCATGCTCTACATACAAAGAATTTCTAAAATAAGGCAAGCTATTGACAAAAAAGTTGATGAAACAAGGATATCAACAGTCTCATTTAAAGTCATCATTTTGCAAGTTCTATGGTCGATACAATTATCTTGTCAGCAAATACAATCTATCATTAAGTCAAATGCTGACTGACTTTTTTCATGCTGGTTGTTAGGCCATTATTTAAACACTGAATTGTCTATGGATTTTTCCATTTGCCTGATGTGACCAATGAGCACACAGCGAATGTGACTGGTTGACTGGGGGTTCTTACTTCTGATCCCACCTCTGATGTTTTTTAGAGGTCTGCATTTGCTCTACTCTCAATTTGTATTGTTTTAATGGACTTTTGAGCTTGAATACTGTTCGTTATCTCCATATTTCCTACAATATCTGCAATGCTTAATTTCTATTGTTGCAGTTGTTGTTCATAAATTTTCTATTGATATACATCTTATCTTTGATTATTTCATTCAGTGATTCGTACAATAATTTTCCAAAAAGTTCCAGTAATCAACCAATTAAGTCTAATGCAAAAGGATTTCCTATTGGCTAATCCTTGATGCATATACATGTATATATAAATATATTTTGACAGGTGGATGTAATGAAACCACCCCATTACTTTGGTGCCTTCTTGTGTTTTGTGATTGCCATAGTGTATCTATGGTTGCAGACAGTCATCACATGGAAACTCAGACATGTGGCAGAGAAGACCCAAGATGGCAAAGTTTGGAGGGCTGTCCGCTTCTTTATTTGGATATTCCAAATCCTCAACAGTGCAGCTTCCACCATTCTACTTATCCTGTGTATCCTTTCTGATGCAAAAGTAAAAATATAATTAACTGTATAATGATTTGGCAGGAAAATTTGACAAAAAAGTTGACGAATTTACAGAAACACTTTGTTCTTTCATGAAAATTTAACAAATAGATTCATTTATACTTACAAGTTATATGAACCAATGCAACATTTTAATTTATATGAATTATGGTTAATCAGTTGAGTTAGATTTAAATTAACACTATCAAAATAAACATTAAGAGACATAATTCCATTTCAACTGTTCTGAAAATTAGCTATTCAGTCACTTAAAATGTTATTGACTAAATGGGCTGTTAGGAATTTTTATAGACACTCACACTTGTCAAGTGTGTTTAACAGATGTTACAAAATGCTTTCCAGTATTTATTAGATTGATTAAGAAACTGTAAACCAACTTTCATTTGCGTGTGAAAATTATCCACAGGTTTCGAGACTTTCTTTTACTTTCACATTTTTAGCCACAAGTCAATATTTAGTTGTTTATTCTTGTAGAATATTTCCTCAGTCACAAAAATTAAGTCATTGATTGATTTAAAACAGTCAAATCGCGAATAAACATTGCCACAAAATGACAGAAATAATAATTGCTTTACAGTATACTTTATAACTTATTATTTTATTGCTTCCTTAATTTACTAAGTTTCTGTGTCAAAGACGACATATAAATTACAGAGAAAAGCAAACATGGGAACAAAATGGGTAAGATTATAATATAATGTTCATGTATTGCTCACCAGAGCTTCAAGCATGCTTTTCAAGGGTAGATTTGTTTTATTTTTATCAGTATTGTAGTGTGGCCTTCAAAAATAATCGCTATAATTTAAACAGCTTTGAAGACATTTGCTTCACCTTTAAATTATTTAATGTATGATTTTAGGACACATTACGTGGTGTGTTTTTGTTGTCCACTTCGACAGAATGGTTGCTTGCATTTTCGATTATGTTTTTTGTGCTGACCTTTATCCCTGGCTTCAAACGTTTGAAGGACATAAAAGTGAGAGTCACCTTGGACAAAGGAAAAGATGGAAAGTCAGGCCCAGTATCGAACGGAGCCACTGAGCTGGTAATCTATCAATTTTAGAATTTTAGAATTTAGTCTGTGAAACAGCTGTAACTAGGAATATGATCACACTAGTTATTGCAATACCATATTATAGCAAACCGAACATTAACTTAAAATTATTTTGTAAAAGATTCAACCATTATTGTGTGTACTTATTTTGGCACAATTAAATTCATTGTACCTCTGTCTATATCCTACAGAAGTCAATAGGTGCCAGGTAGAAAAAATATTTCATCTGGCAGCTGCCAGATAAGTTTTTTGCGGCCTCCAAATAATTATATGGTGGCGGCTGCCAAATAAGTAGATCTGGGGGCCACCAAATAAGTATATCTGGCCATCTACCATATAATTCCGGCAGTGGCCACATCATTTTCTGGCGGCCGCCACATAAATAACTAGCAGCCGCCAGATTAATTATTTGGCAGCTGTCAGAAAATTATGTGGCGGCTGCCAGATAATATTTTTTTTTTACTGGCAACTAGCAGCTACTGTAATATCCTTTTTATGCTTATATTTATGAATACTATCTATAAAAGTATGATTTTATATAGATGCATTACATATACATAGAAAAACTGATTATGCTAATTTATGATTGAGCCAAATAAGCCATGTGTTCTCTGTCTGAGGTTAATTCTGAATTTGCTAAAATAAGTACTCACGTAGTATATTTTGCATAGCTGATCATCATATATGTGTATGAGCAATATTCTGTAAAATTTTGAAGGAGGCATTCCTGAGAGGCTTTTTAGTATTTAATGCTTCCATCCATGAAAACCAAAGTACTAATTTTAGTGAACCAAGCACTGCTAATTAATTTAATGGTACATGTAGGTAGGCGGCCGGGTGGACAAATTATATATAATACAATGTACCATGTATCTGCAATTGAGATATTCTATACACCAAGCTTTCTTTGCATGTGACAAAGTCGTATGCGTCAATCTTTAAACGAGGAATTTATTATAGACCGCTCTGTACAATGTGCTCAGAGAGGAGAAATAAATAATTGATGGAGAAATTAATTCATGATTTTTGAAGAATTTAAATAGTTCAGGGTAATTCATGGAGTAATTGTGGAAGAAATTAAAATGCATGGCTAAATTTATTAAATCATTTAGAATGTATGGTACAAAAAATAAATCCACTCAAAATCGGTATGATTTAATATTATGAACATCAATGCACATTTTATCAGCTTAGTTTGTCAGAAGTCTTTAAAGTCAAACATCTGTCATGCATAGACTGCCAAAATAAAATGCACATAAACTGCCAAAGTAAAATATACATAGACTGCCAAAGTAAAATATACATAGACTGCCAAAGTAAAATATACATAGACTGCCAAAGTAAAATATTATTGTCTCATACTGGGTATATTGTCAGAATCAAATGAATATAAATATATACAAATATATATAAACATTGAAACTCAGTGTTGTGATATGAATGGTTCTTATTACCATGATTACTCTCAGGCATTAGAAATAACAGCAAATCTCTCTTGATAAAATGAGTGATGTTCAACTCTTCTTAATTATTTTAATAGCAGGTATAATCAAATAATGTAAGTAATTAAGCAATGATAGTAGTCTGTCTCTCCATTTGTGGAAATACGCATGATCATATGATAACTATGTTTGTCATATTCTCGAAGCATGATCATAGAATTGAAATATATTATCTGCTAGAAACTAAATGAAAATAACAGAATATATTTGTGTATTCACTGAAATTCACCATTCATATAGATGGCATGTGCTGCAGATTAGAATGTTTCCTGTTGGTTTAGGTTTCATTTTTTTTGGTCATTTTAGAATTAGGGATACACTGGCATGACTATAATTCAGAATGACTTTTTATGCATTTGATATTAGGGCTGTGTCAATATATCGATTAATCAATACGTATCGATATTCTTTAATGTATCGTATCAAAACAAAAAATTCCAATACGTATCGGGCAGGCAGTTTTTCTTATAATTCTGTGAAAAAGTTGGGAATTTCAGTCACCAAAGGTTATTTTTAACTGTTTTGAATTAAAACTGATCAATAATGAAATAAACATTAAGGAGATCACTCATCACAATATTAACTATTAAAAAATACAAAGACAACTATATTTTAACATGTTAGTTTTACAGTCATTGAAAGTTTGAATTTGAAGTGTACTTTGTAAAGACAGGAGACATGAACTTCCAATTTGGTAATAAAACACCTAGTTTTCATCAAATTTATACAGTAAATGATTTACAAGACTTTTTTGATAGATTTGTTAAAGAATCTAATATATCGCATATTGCTGTATAAAATATCGTATCGTATTGAAGTATTTTGCTCAATACACTGCAGTATTTGATATACATATATCTTACTGAATATACACTGCACAAAAGTGTGGGGGGTTTTCCCTGCATATTTAAAATATATGAACATTATTTCTGAATGACACTTTTAACATCCTTGGTAATATGATATTACTTAACAGAACACTAAAAATGCATGAAGTCATGTCTGTATTACATGTAGTTTGTATTTTAGTGCTTGCTAATGCACAGTACAATGTAAATAAAAAATTGATGTTTTTATCATATTGTCCATGTTGTTGATTTATACTTACATTCAATGCTTTTAAATCTTCAACATTGGTCAATTATGAGGATAAAAACTATATTCATCTAGTAATATTTATATATTCAATGAATTACTATGCTTTTTCCTTGATAAATGAACTAGAAATTTTCTTCTCTTCAATTTTTCAGCAAGAGATGAATGACAGATCAAGTTTAACTGGAACAGAAAATGTGTAGAAGACACAGTATCAGCTGAGAAGTAATTAGAATTGTAGTCCCCACATTTCTCTCATGATCAAAGGCAACATTGATATAAACATGCATGTCTTGGGCTGTTTTTGCAATTTTGAAAATCATACTTGTGTAAATTTTCTCTCTGTGGTAATCGATACATTTATTTATGCCCTTTTCACACAGAGAGTTTAATTGAAATGAAATGTGTTACTGGGAATTCAATTTGAACCTCGTTCACAAAGAAAATTTTATGCAAATTAGCTTAATGCAAATGGATGTAGTCTGCAAATTACTTTGGATTAACTCTGTGTCAAAGCTAAGCAAAGATAAGATTTTGATGCAAAATAATAGAATAGCAAAATTAAATCACATGCCACATGTCCAACTTCAGATATAGGTACTTGCACATTTTGATTGAATATGTTAATCATTAAACGTGTACAGACACTATGACATTATGTAAGATGCATATCTGCTCTGCAGACTTTGTGACATAATTTTCAAATTGTCATAATAGCCTAATAGCTAACATAACTTTCATTATTATCAAATTTTAATGCATAGTAGTTTTACTTTGCATTAACTATCATGTGAATACTAATTAGTTTGCATTATTTTACTTCTCATATACATGTGTTCTTGGAAGTAAAAATTTAATGCAAGTGAACAGGGCAATAAATGCCACATATGATTTTTGAAAAAATGCATAGTAATTTACATATATATATATTGGTGTTGATGTAGTATATTTTATGACAATTAAAGGATCCTATCTCAATGTCAGGTAACAATTGTTTAAGTGGTGTGTATATATACAGATTACCCGAGTATCTGTTCCAAGCTTTCTTGATTTATTTCATCAGTTGAAATATTAATCTTTGTATGAGCTTTATAAAATTAATTTATAAAATTCATAATATTTTTTTTTAATTCATATTATGTAAATTTGATTTTTTCCCCCTCGTTTTTACTGCATTTGTATATACATGTATTTCCTGGCAATATTGAGCCTATACTGATTTTATTTCGTCTATTCATTTTAGCTTACTATCATGTTTATTTTTACATTTAAATTTTTTATATACAGGTATACCATTTAATACATCAGGAACATGTACATACATGTATGTGTCTGATTGTATATAGTTTTCTTTATGAATGTTTTATATTGTTACATGTTCATCTATCATTCAAAGTATTTTTTTCATCCCCTGTGGTATGTTTTTTTTTTTTTGTGACCACCTTGTTTGTGGAATCAAATGCCTTTATTAAAACCAAAATTATGAGCTTTACTGCCTTTGTATTATTGTATCATAATAGGTTGATATATATGGCATGTCAAACGTTGCAATATTCGATCTTTTCCATTTGTATTATATAATTTTCCATGTATTCAATAATTTTTCATTTGCATTGTAAAATTTTTATTTGTATTCAATATTATTTCGTTTGTATTGTAAATTTTTTCTCTGTATTAAAAAATTCTTGATTCTTCATTTGTATGGTATAATTCTTTATTTGTATTGTATAATTTTTTTTTATCTGTATTGTATAATTTTTTTATTTGTATTGTATAATTTTCAATTTGTATTGTATAATTTTCAATTTGTATTGTATAATTTTCCATTTTATTGTAAAATTAAACAAAATTATTACAAATGAAAAATGATAGAATACAAATGGAAAATTATACAATACAAATAAAAATTATACAATACAAATGAAAAATTTTCCAATACAAATGAAGAATTATAGAATACAAATAAAAATTTTACAATGCAAATGGAAAATTATAGAATATAAATGGAAAATTATACAATACAAATGGAAAAAATCGAATATTGCAACATTGGACATGCCATAGATATAGGTATATATAATTACATGCATCCATAAATTATTTCTTTTCTTTGATAAACTGAACTGTTAATTATCGTATATGTACAAAGGTACAAAACTTATCATTTTCAAATTGAAAATGTTTGCGCACATGTATACAGAAGAGAATAATTTGGGTAATTTTGGGATAAAAATCAGTTTTGGTTGATAATTATTCAGGTAGCAAGTAGTCCCAGATATTTTTGTAAAATGTAAAATACACTTATATTTTTTTTTATTTTTAAGACCTCGAGCTTCATGAGTGGTGTCTACGAGCAGAAGTGTTTCAAATATTAAAATGTTATATATTTTAGAAACTAGTGTTTGTATTTGTATCGGTATAAAAGTTTCAAATCAGCATTGTATGTTTATAGTGTACTTGTTGTAAATCAAAATTATAGAAACGTTTTTGTGATTGTAGAAGGCAGGAAAGTGTACTGAATGGTTGTGAATTTTTTCATTGAATTTCTATATATTATTTCCTATATTTATACATATATGTTGATTTTGATACTGCTGCATTTTAATATTGCAGATTTGTTTATGCATTTGTACAGCATTGAATAGAGAGAACATTTTCTAATTATGTTAAAAAGAGTATTTTTATACATGCAGTCAGGTCAATCTTTAATGCTTTTAAAATTCGTAATGTTACTCTATAAATATTGAAAATCTAACAAATAGCTTTTTTTTATACATTGCATTTATCTGTCACTTATTGCTCAACTGTTAAAATAAAAATCCTTGAAAAAAATTATCAGAAAAAATTGTAAAATTGTTTCTGATTATTATTAATTATCAAGTAAAATGTGGTAGATAAAAATGTGTTTTCCCCTTTATTTTACTAACATGAAGAGAAATTAAGGTTTCCAGTGGATTTACTTGGGCTTGTAAAATTATGAAAAATCAAAACTGTTTAATATTCAATGTCTTAAATATCAGTGGGATGTATGAACTTTAACTTTCGATCGAAATATAAACTGAAATAAAAAATGGAATTTAGAAATAATGCTGGGTCAGACACACACTTTCAACAAGTTCTTTAATAAAGTCTTCCATTGTATTAAGGGAGCTGAGTTGTTATTGTACTGTACTGCTGCTCACAGGAGACAGGGTTTTTTTGTTGGACATGAATTTTTTAAAGTCTGCTTGTACTTGATTGAAATTTGATATAGCCTTTTCTCACAGATTATTTCCCTTGCACACCTCTGTTCTTTTTGGGAAGATGTCTGACAGAAATCATGTCGATTATCAAATTAATGCTTTTATAGTACATCTTTTATCCATGTTAGGTTTGAATGAGTAAGTGACACATGCCTTGAAGTATGTGAAAGGATAAATGGGTGGTGGGAACATTTTTATCCTTTTTATCAGTACTAATATTTCATGACTTCACCATTTTACTCAAATATAACTAAACTCATGACAGTGTATTGCAAAGTTTGTTGTAAAAAAGATATTGATTTATCTATAAACCATTGTTATGTTTGAAGAAACCTGTCCACCGTAAAGCAGAGTCTTTAATGTTAATCTCATCATTGTTGGCCTTATGTAACTGATAAACATATGTAAACATGTGCAAAATTGATGTATTGTCAAATAAATATACATTTTGTTACTAGTAGCTGGACTTATGAGTTAGATTTTTGTATTAAAAGTGAGGGACATTAATTTGGGCATCTGTCTGTGTGTCAGGGTCAGAAATTCATTATTGAATACAAGAGACCCAAGGGCCTTGAATCACTCTTCTGATAAACTGTACAACCTATCACTTCTACTTGAAGCCTCTAAGTATCCTGTATATTTAGATAAAGCCTTGAAATTCCAAAGGTAGGTCTTCATGACCAACATTTTAGATAAAACACTCTGAGAACCCAAGATGATTCTAAGCAAATTAGTACCTGAGAGTAGGTCATGGTGACCTACTTATCACTTGTCATTCTCTGAGGACCCAAGATGCATCAACTAAGTTTGATGATTCTAAGCCAAATAGTACCTGAAATATTTATATAAAGCCATAAAATTTCAAAAATTGGTCACAGTGACCTACTTTTCAGTTGACTAAGTCTGCGGACCCAAGATGCATCAACTGACAAAGTTTGATGATTCTAAGCCAAATTGTACCCCAAAATATTTAAATACAGTCCTAAAATTTCAAAAGTAGGCCACAGTGACCTACTTTTCAGTTGTCATACTCCGAAGACCAAAGATGCATCAACTGACAAAGTTTTGATGATTCTAAGCCAATTAGTACCTGAAATATTTAATTAAAGCCATAAAATATCAAAAGTAGGTCACAGTGACCTTCTTTTCAGTTGACCTACTCTGAAGAACCAAGATGCATCAACTGACAAAGTTTGATGATTCTAAGCCAATTAGTACCTGAAATATTTAATTACAGTCATATAAATTGAAAAAGTAGGTCACGGTGATCTACTTTTCAGTCGTCCTACTCTGAGGACCCAAGATACATCAACTGACAAAGTTTGATGATTCTAAGCCAAATACTGTAGTTCCCAAAATATTTAAATACAGCCATAAAATTTCAAAAGTAGGTCACTGTGACCTACTTTTCAGTTGTCATACTCTGAGGACCCAAGATGCATCAAATGACAAAGTTTGATGATTCTAAGCCAATTAGTACCTGAAATATTTAATTACAGTCATATAAATTGAAAAAGTAGGTCACGGTGACCTACTTTTCAGTCGTCCTACTCTGAGGACCCAAGATACATCAACTGACAAAGTTTGATGATTCTAAGCCAAATACTGTAGTTCCCAAAATATTTAAATACAGCCATAAAATTTCAAAAGTAGGTCACTGTGACCTACTTTTCAGTTGTCATACTCCGAGGACCCAAGATGCATCAACTGACAAAGTTTGATGATTCTAAGCCTGAAATATTTAATTAAAGCCATAAAATATCAAAAGTAGGTCATGGTGACCTACTTTTCAGAAGACATTTTTCAAGGACCCAAGATGCATCAACTTACAAAGTTTTATGATCATAGGCCTTAAAATGTCCAAAATATGTCTCTAAAATGCTTGAAATAGAATGCCTGCAAAGTTCAAAAAGTAGGTCACTGTGACCTACTTTTTAATAAATATGTTTTATGGCCCCAAGATGCATCATCTTACA